CCGTTATCTTTCACTGACACTATCAGGTTCTGTTTCATGCTGTCAGATTCAGAAATGTCCCGCTGTGTCCTGATCTCTCCACTGTGCACACCAATACTGAAAAGTCCCAGATCGGTGGATTTGACTATTTCATAGGAAAGCCAGGCGTTCTGTCCTGAGTCCGCGTCCACCGCTATTACTTTGGACACCAGAGAGCCTCCGTGTGCAGCTTTGGGGACCAGCTCGGTCATGAAGGAGCTGCCCTCCGGGGCGGGGTACAGTATCTGAGGACTGTTGTCATTCACATCCGATATGAACACACTGACCGTCACGTTGCTGCTCAGAGGAGGAGAACCGTTGTCTCTGGCCATCACCTGCACTTTGAAACTCCTCATCTGTTCATAATCAAACGACCTCACAGCGTGGATCACCCCCGTGTCTCCGTTAACAGACACATAGGAGGACACTGGAGCACCCCCCACCTCAACGGCTAACAGAGAATAAATCACTGTACCATTTTGTCTCCAGTCGGGGTCTCGAGCACTAACGGAACATAAAGTGGAACCAGGTTTGTTATTTTCTGTCACATATGCACTGTACGACTGCTCCTCAAACACAGGTGGGTTGTCGTTGATGTCAGCTACAGATAACTCCACAGTTTTAGACGAGGACAGAGGTGGAGAGCCCTCATCAGTGGCAGTGATTGTAATATTGTAATCAGACACCACTTCACGGTCTAGTTGTCCTGTGGTCACCAGAGAATAATAGTTTTTAATCGAAGGAACCAACTTAAAAGGGACGTTCTGCTGGATGGAGCAGCGGACCTGCCGGTTCTTCTCAGAGTCTCTGTCCTGCACATTAATGATGCCCACCTCTGAACCAGGTGGGGTATTTTCTGGTATGGGATTGGTCAGTGATTTCAGACTGACTACAGGAGCGTTGTCATTCACATCAGTGATAGAAATTATTACTTTGGCATAAGAAGACAGCCCCAACCCATCCTTTGCTTTGACTCGTATTTCATATGATGTTGTGGTTTCAAAGTCTACAGCACCAATAACTCTCATGTCACCTATTTTACGGTCTATACTGAATATTTTCATAACTTCTTCAGAAACATGTCCAAACTCATAAGTCACGTCTCCATTGATTCCCTCATCTGCATCAGTTGCGCTCACAGTAACCACCACAGTATCCAAAGGGGAGTTTTCAGCCAAACTGGCTTTGTAAACAGCCTGACTGAACACTGGGGCGTTATCATTAGCATCCAGCACAGTGACGTGTATGACCACCGTACCTGATCTCTGAGGAGATCCGCCATCTAAAGCTGTAAGGAGCAAATTGAGCTCGTTTTCTTTTTCACGATCAAGCTCTTTTTCAAGAACAAGCTCTATAGTGTTTCCATTAGCAGCCAGAATGAAATTCTCGTTCTTTTTAAGGCTGTACTGCTGAACTGAATTCTGTCCTGCATCCGCATCGTGCGCCTCCTCTATCACAAAGCGAGCTCCTTTCACTGCTGACTCACGAATTTCTAGTCTAATCATTTCCTCTTTAAACTGAGGGGAGTTGTCGTTTATATCTTGAATGTGAAGACTAAAGCGATTAAGTTCGAGAGGATTCTCCAGCACTAGCTCCTGTTTCAGGATGCACGAAGCCTTTTCGCCACAAAGCCCCTCACGGTCAATCCTCTCGGCCACCACCAGCTCCCCACTATTCAGGTTTATGTCACAGTAACGTTTATCAGTCCCGTCGGTGTCAATGCGAGCTCTTCTATCAGACAGAGCGCCGGTCTGCAGCCCGAGATCTTTGGCAATATTTCCAATCACTGATCCTCGCTTCATTTCCTCCGGGAAAGAATAGCTCATGTCTCCATATGCGACGCGCAGAAAGACGAAGAAGTACAATATATGAGAGTTGCTCATTCTGAAATCCATCCTCAAAAATAACCTCCGGATAAATTCTAAAAATGATGAAACGTCAAAAAACGATAAGCAACAACAGTCCGACGCAAATGGTCTCTCATGTAGAACGGCAAATGAACCTACAAGACCATCCAGACCACAATGGAAACAATGCTCAGAACATTTAAGGCTGGTATATAGCGACACCGTGAGTTAAAATACACAACAACACTATTATAAAAACAAATCTAGAGAATCAAACTTAAAATGGACTATGTAACCATTTAACAATACTCCTCACCAAAGGAGGATGTAAATTAACGTTGTTTTCTCCAAACATTTTAAACTTTTGATTTACAAATGACTAATTTCATAAGGAAAGTATGCAAATATTTCAAGGTAGCAAACGTAAAACCCTAAATGTTCTTAATCAAACGATGTTATAAATTAATAATTCAGGATGCGTCTCATAACTGCATATAGGGTAAAAAATATATGAATCTAACTCCAAAATTGTTTTATCTTTGCATAAAATTTTGTGGTGGTAGACTAGGATAATAATTTCACAGCAACATTAATCGGCAGATTAAATGAGAGAGAATAATCGTCGATAAAAGTTTGAAAATCAATTTAAAGGTTTAAAATGTGCTATGGAATCTGCAGATTTCCAGACAAAGACTGATTTTTTTGCAATTCCAGTTTGAGAAACACCACAATGTCACTGTATCCATGCTATCACTGGACACATTTGTACTATTACCACCGTTTCCTCAGTCAACGTTAAGCATCTACCAGCCTTTATGTACTGCAATTTCAATACAATATAAGGGCGGGTTTTTTTTACTTTGATTGTTCAGTCGTTTTTGTTACATTTTAAAGATGGACAATGTAATAATAGAGCTCTGAATAAGAAACAGGTAAAGAACTGAGTTTTTTGCACTGCTCTCCAGGTGTCAAACTCATGCTCATGTGAGATTACTGTGCAGCATCTGATTTGCTCTTACATGTCCCTATATAATACTGAGAACCTCTGAAAATATTGACTTCCTTTCAATTCTATTGTAATTGAGCCAAAGTTCTGTGAGTAAGTTTGATATCATTTGCTGTAATTTCAAGTTCCACTCATCATAACTTTTAGACGTGGTTGCTGACTACAAATGCTAAAGTTACAATGTTTTTTATCTGGATATGTATTAACTGCCTGTCACATTTTGGCTTCAAATTTGGTTGACACAATTTGTTTTTAAACATTAAAAGGTTGAAGACCTCAATGAAATCCACAAGTTTTTAACTTGAACTTATGGTAATGAGTTTTGTCTAAGGCACGTTGTGTCAGATGGCCGGGCCTTTCGCAACTTCACGTCTTTCAGTGAAAAGCTTCCACACACTGAATGTATAGAAAAAATCTACTTCAGTGAATGTATTGCATTATATTGACAAAACAGATCATCAACACAGACATCTATTTAAAAGTAGCTCAGAAAATAAGACAACACTACAAGTTAAAATTACAAAAGCCCGTTAAGAATGCTTCCCATGGCCCAACACTGAAGATGAACGTGTTGTCTTTAAAAAGCAGTAAACATGTGCCAACTAAGACTTTGAAATTATTTATTCCTAAATGACAAGTCAACTCATGCAACATGTAGTCAAAGTGTTTGTGACCACAGTGTATTTGAAATGTTGTCACATGCTTCAAGCTGTATTCAGAAACTGAAGCTTTTAGGAAAAACATATCAGATCACAAGAGGGTTTCATGTCTATAAAGAAGAAAACACTTCCTATACACTGATATTAATCACATCAAAGCAGATGATTGGCACTGAATCCATCAACTCATTGGTAAAAAGGCTGAGAAATCTTAAGATTATGTCTGTCCCACTGAAACACTTCCGAGGTTAAACTCATGTGGGTTTTACTTCTTTTTCAGGTTGAACCACATGCACTTTGTCGGTTAAATATGGTTATAACTGAAGTCTCCTATGGAACGTGATAAACTATTGTGGAAGAGGTGGTGTTAGTGTAAAAGCTTTTGAGCAAAAAATGTTGAGTAGATTATAAAAAAATCAAATCAACCCAATATGTCTGGAAGGCTTATGAAATGAAGAAATAAAAAGCTAGCACAGCTGAAAAAAGGTAAGGTTGCATTCAAAGTAAAATCTGATTAATCCATTGTGACCATGTTATAAGATCAAAGTTCAGTCTTGTCATTGACAGATAGAAAGGCAAAGACAGGAGACTTGGTACTCAGTTGGAATGGTAATATTAGAACACGCAAATTGACGTAAAATCTTTCAGGAGAGCTTTTGAACTTAAACTTTAAAACATCTTTAAGAACTGTTTCCACAGAAGTTTTGAAAGTTCAAAGATCAAAGTTCAAAGAAGTGTCATTATGGATACCAAAATCTCCAAAGACTCTTAATGTTGTTATTAATGAGAAATTAAACTTGTATTTGAGATTTTGTTAAAAACTTTAGGACAAAATAACATATGTTTAAATTATAATTCAGGTTAAAAATTCATAATACATACTCATACCTCAGGGTAAGTATTTTTATCTCCAAACGCATCTTCAAAGTCTGTTGGGCTTTTCTTCAGAGTCTGGTCTGCTGGCAGCGTGTTGTCATTGTAAGATGATACAAATTTAAAGTCACTGGTTCTCGATCCTGTTGTCAGATACGCATCATAATT